CGGCAGCCTCCAGGAGCCGGCACCGTGTGGAGAGGGGAGGTCGGTGTCGCAGCGCCGGGCGGGCGGCTCCGGCTCCCTGCGTCCGTGCGGCTCTGCCCCGCGCAAGCGCCCGGGCTGGCCGGAGCGCAGGAGGAGCAGGAGAGCAGAGCCCGGCAGCCCCCGGCCCAGGGGCTCTCGGGCCCGGGGAAACTGTTGCGTGCGCAAGGCAGCCCTGCTTGGAAGCACTGGGAGGACAAGAAAGTCCCCCCTCCTGCCCAGCCAGCAGCCAAGAGCCCCTTCCTTGCGCCTACTCTTTCCAGGCCATCCTGGCATTTCCAAAATGTGACAAGCAGGAAAACTAACCACTCTTTTGGGCCGAACACTCTGAACGAAGCCGGACCCTCGGGAGGTTGCCGGCCCTCGGCTTCCCTTGGAAGGCAGAGGGAAGCAGGTGTCCAAGCGGCTGCTCCCTCGCTCCATGCGGGCACCCTTTGCCAGGGCTCCCTGTGCCCGCAAGCCAAAAGCTCTCCCATGTAAACACGGCTTTTGGTTCCTGGGGAGCTCTTACTTTATTCTCCAGACTGTGGCCGCCACCTCTCCCTGCTGGGGCAGAGATTCCCGCACAGGAGGCTCCGGGGCCGGGGACATGGAGCAGCCGCCAGCGAGGGGCTGGAGCGGGCTCTCCCTCCAGGCCTGCAGCTATCACCAGCAGAGCCCTGCTCCGAGCGGGCACCCTGCCTGCCATGCGACACTGACCCCGGTGTGGCCACCCTGGCCACCAAGCGGAGCGGGCAGCGCTCTGGGCTCCGGCTGGCGCAGGGGCGGCCAGGCCCGTCCCCGACGTCCCTCGGACACCGCACGCCGGGACCGCCAGGCTGGACCGGCCACGGGGGTGGGGAGAGCTGGCCAGGACCAGCCTCCAGTGCAAGTTGAAAGAGTCACAGCCTTTCCTGCAGTCCCTGCAGGCTGGAAAGACAGCACCGGTGTATCTAGGGCTGGGGCAGAGGGGCACACTGCCCCCCCAAGCTCCAGCCAGCTCCCCCAGCTCAACAGGCAATACCCGGAGCCCTTGGGAGCTCACGACAGGCAGCAGGGCTGCTTGCTGCTCTGCACAGCGGAGCTGGGGATGCAAAGGGCTGCCGAGGGTAGTGAGCCACAGAGAGCGAAAATAAATAAGGAGGCAGGTGGCAAACTGCACTGATGCCCCGTCCCAGAGAAGGCGGCTGCCCTGCCTCTTTCTGCCAGCAGCGAGCGAGAGAGAAGCCAGCTAGCTCTCTGCACGCACCCATCCCGAGCGGCAGCGGCAGGGCAAGCATCAACTGTGCCGGCTGGATGAACAAACTCGCATTAAGTTAATTAAAAAAAAAAACTACAAGTCCAGGACATGTTTCCCTCTTTCCTAGGTCTGCCCCGGTGAGTGAGTGTGTCACAGACACTTTGGCAAAGCAGACACTTGGGCTGGACAGGGCAGCAAGGGAAAACGTCAGCTCCACCGCTTCCTTCTCCATCCCTTCATCCTACGGTTCAGAGAAACCCTCTGCTACAGCCCCGGCGTGGGCAGCTCCTGCTGCTGCCCCGCGCGTCAGAGCCTCTGACACTCGCAGGAGGGACAGTTCCCGTGCGCAGCCACTTGCCAGCTTTACTGGTAGCGGGGACAATGCAGTCCTTCCTCCGCTGTCCGTTGCCTGTGTTTCTTCTCCAGGTTCCCTTTCACCCTCCAAAGGCGGAAGGGTTTCAAAATAACAGAGTCAGACAACCAAGCGTTGCTGCTGTTTTTCTTTTCCCCCGGTCCACTGGATTATTGACCCATCAATCTGAAGCGATGCTTCCTTGTGCCTTCATCAGGAGCAAAGACGTTTTGAGTCCTCTTTTTCCTCTCAGAGCACCAAATCCAAACCCAACGAAGAGCGTGCGACCCGCGGCTCTTGGCCGCCCTTACTTCACTTCCAGGATGGAGGGGTTTGTCTCCATGATGGCCACGATGATCCTGTCGATGTAATCCTGCAGGCGGAAGTTGATCTCCTCTTGCTTTTGAATTGCTTCCATGAGCTGCGAGGGGGACAAAAAGGCAGAAAGCGGTCACCAGATGCCACTATCCAAGGACAGAAACATTTTCCTGCTGCTCAGCACACCAAACTGTACCCATGGCAGCAGGGGCCGTGACCAGCACGCAAAGACACATTGGACTGAGGAGATTTCCCCCTTCTTCAGCTTGGGTTGCTCCTCATCAGAAAGGAAGGGAGGGACCGGTGGGACTGCACCGAGTCTCCTGAGCCCCTCCGCTCCCAGATTAACTCCCTGCTTCTGCAGGGGAGTCCCAGCTCTAGCTGATCTCCCCACGATGGGGGCTCCTATAGGCCAAGCTTTCCACAGGCAACGCTCCATGGGTCACATCACACACCTGGGGGCCCAGACACAAGAAGCCAGAGGCCCGCACTGGGCTAGGGCACAGGCACAGCAGCTGAGTGCACGTTTGAAGAGCACATTATGGTACCTCTGAAGCTCATCCCAGCCCTTCCCCTCCCCTTGAGGAGGCTCTGCGAGGACGGGAGGGACCGGTGGGACTGCACTGAGTCTCCTGAGCTCCTCCACTCGCAGACTAACTCCCTGCTTCTGTGGCAGGCTCTCAGCTGCAGCTGATCTCCCCACCATGGGGGCTCCTATAGGCCAAGCTTTCCACAGGCAACGCTCCATGGGTCACATCACACACCTGGGGGCCCAGACACAAGAAGCCAGAGGCCCGCACTGGGCTAGGGCACAGGCACAGCAGCTGAGTGCACGTTTGAAGAGCACATTATGGTACCTCTGAAGCTCATCCCAGCCCTTCCCCTCCCCTTGAGGAGGCTCTGGACCAACAGCATGAGAAGATGCCCTCAGCTCCTGGCCCAGCTCCTTAACTCTCCTCTCCTTCCTCAAGTCTCAGCCAGATGGGACCCCAAAGAAAGCAGGGCTTGCCACATCTCCTTCTGGAACCCCAAATATCCACATGCATTTTCCCAACATCTTTCTCAAGATCCTATAGATTTAATTCTGGTACTTAGGCTCTCCAACCAGTACCTGGGGTACAAGTTACTGGAGCAGGGAGAGCGGGTGCCAGAGGAGGAGATAAGAAGCAATCTGCCCAGGATGGATGGCACACACCATGCCCTCTGAACTGTGCCAGAAAGAGGAGCACTATCACAGGTGGGCAAAGGGCAATGATACAGGGCCCTCCAACGAGAGGACTGCCAGCACACTGAAGGGCACAGCTTTCTCCACTTCCAGGAATGGGGACTGTCCTGAAAACTTTTTGAAGAGTCTCATGGATATTTCTTTGCTCATGACAGCTTTCTAATGACTTTTGGGAGTGAACTGTACTACAGACAGGGCTCCTCCCAGGCTTTCTGTACACTGAGGGAAGATTAAACACAACAGGCTCCCCAGAGAAAATGCAGTTTGAAGCAGGCAATTCCCTTGCAGCCAGTACCTCGTCTCTGGAGACGGAGCTGATCTCTGCAGCCAAGGACTCTGAGAAGGAGGCTGAGAAGAGGTTCTTGGCTCCCTGGATGCTCAAGTTAATGATCTGCCCATTCAGTTCATCGTTCTGCTCCTTCAGGTTCCTGTTATCCTGTTCACAACAGACATTTGTCAGATGCTGCCAAAGCATGTGGTGCCCTGGAGCAGATTGCTCAACCCTGACTGCACGGCTGGGGAAGACAGAGGCTCTTGTTCCATGCAAGGAACTGAACAGAGCAGAGTAGGAATAGTTGGAATAGAGTCCAACTTCACAGAGCCTTTAGACAATCTAAAGGCATGGGATGTCCTGGAGAGATCAAGGATACCAAGATTTTGAGGAGCTCTAGAAACATGACACCCTTTAGAGGAACATAGCAAACAGGCTGTCAAATCCAGTGCCAGATCTTGGGGAGGTTGAACACCACACAGGGTGGCAAGTCCTAGGTCCATCAGGGAATCTGTCTCCTGCTTTGCAAGCCAAGCAGCTGATATGTTTCCTTCCCCCCCGCCCAGAACCAAATACCTGCTTGAGCTGCTTGATCTCCTGCTCCAGCTCAGTCTCCCGTGTCCTGCTGTTGTACTCCTGGAGTCCCATGCTGCTGCTCCTGCCTCGTCGCTGCTCAGCTTCCAGCTTGAAGAGCTGCAAGTGCTCGAGCTGCTTCCTGAGGTCCTCGATGAGCTGCAGCGCAGAGGAAGAGGACAACTGTGTGAGCACCACGGCCCTAGAAAACCCAACAGCTCGCGCGGTCACTGCTGGTGCAACAAACTGCAGTTTGACAGCAGCAGCAGGATCAGCAGAGCCGTTCGAGGCACACGGCTTCCCTCTTCACAGCAAGCAGGAGCGGGGGGGCTACTTAACACTGAGAGAGCAGCGCCAGCCCCGGAAGGACAGCGGAGCCCCGAAGATGCCGGCTCCGAGTCGGCAGTGGGAGGCAGAGCTCTCCTAGCAACGCGGGTGCTTGCCCTGGCAGCTCCCACGGCTCCGAGCTCCCTCCTGCTGCAGCAGGAAGCCTTGGCCGGGACCAAGTGCTGTGAATGCCCGTCACAGCTGAGCGCTCTCAGCCCCATCAGGAGCGACTCTGATTTCCCTTTGGAGGCCTAAACTTCCTTTCCCACTGTAGCAGCGAGCTCCATTTGAGCTTCTAGCTGGAATTAGCAACCACACAGGCCCCTGGAAGGGGTATCTGTGCCTTCCGCCCCGCCGTACACAGGAGCTGGGAGCTGTGCCAGGACAGGCTCCCGCTGCTGCTAAGCAGGGCCAGCTCTCGCCCAAGTGGCCCTGCATCCCTGTCCGGCCCCGCTAACGCTTGCCAGCGCTGCGCACCCCCATCCCAGGATTCTGGCACCGCTCCTTTGAAGCGGGAGAGAAACAGGCCCTGTGGGGAGCAGGCCAGGAAGGCAGAGCCTGCCTGGGTTTGCAGATGCAGACACACATACTCAGCTGAATCTTAACAAAGCAAGAAGTGACAGATGCTACACAGAGAAGAAGCTGCTCTCTCTGTGCCCCGGCAGGACCACGTGCTGGAGCTGCAACTTTCCCTGGAGCAAGGCTCCTCTCCAGCTGGACCAACTTGCGAAAGGCAGGAGAATCCACACACCACTCACCTCCTGCGTAGACTCCTTCTCCTTCTGAAACTGGTGCCTCTCCTGATTCAGTTTGTCCCCCATCTTCCTCTTGTTCTCCTGCTCCTCTGTGAGCTGGACAGTGAGGTCTTCGATCTCATCCAGCAACTTCTGCTTCTCCTGCAACGAGAGGAAGCCCAGAAGTCACAAGCCCCGTCTCCAGCCCTGCCCGGGCTCTTCCTAGTTGCTCAAGGACACTGCACACGCCGAGCACCGCAGAGAACGCTCTGCCTGCTGACGTATTTAGGCGCTCTGCCTGCTGCGATTTCATTTGCTGAGGACTTCAGAGCCTGAGTGCTTTGGCAGCAGTAAGAAGAGTTACACACCAAAATAGCACCATTGGAGAGTAAGACAGTAATAGATGATCAAGAAAAAAAAATCCAGTAGTGATCACCACGTGGGAAAATACTGGCACAGCATCTGGACAGGTTGGTGCTGGTGTGGGATACTGCTTGGGCAGAAAGGTCCCAAGGGCCAACCTGAGGTCTATCCCCCTCAAAAATAAACCTTTCTAAAAGCCTAAAACACTAAGAGGACACACCAGACAACGCTGGTGTCCAACGGTCCTTGCCAAGAAGCATCCATAACCAGCTCTGAAGGAGAACTTCAGCTCGCCTTGGGTGCTCTGGTCTACGGAGCACAGCGCCAGCAGCACTACATGAGCACGAGCTGCACTGTTAACAGCAAAGTTCCTGTTTCAGACAAGAGGCAAGATGTCAGCTTCTCAGCAGGGGCTTCTCTTCTCAGCAGGGAGGAGCAGTAATTGCACCTCTCCCTGCTCATTAACCACATTAACTGTGGAGAAAGGGCACGCTGCTCTGCAGAGAGACGGAGGAGCGAAACAAACTGCCTATGGCTGAGCACACGTAGCCAGGAACTTGTCCTCAGCCCCCACGCTGCCTCTCAAGCCTGGTGCTGCAACCTGGGGTTTTCATTTACTTGTCTAATGCTTTAGATTTTCATCTTTAATTTAGATTTGGAGATTTAAAATCTTCAATTTACCAGAGGTTTGAACAGCAATGTTGATTACATGTCACCTCCGATCTGCACCTCTCTCCGCTCTCTCCAAAAACAACAATCTTGTCCAGCAATCTGGGACTGTGTTATCCTGGCGAGCCTTTCACCTTGGCCTCATTAACAGATCCTAGGCCTGAATCCCAGGTGCAAGGAGAAGGGAGATGATCGCAGAGATACCCCAGTGCTTTGGAGGCTCAGTGTGCACGTCCCAGTGAGAGCAGACTGCACAGGCAGGACAGGGACATTTCTGCTCCCTGTTCCCCCTTTTCTTCCTTCTGACAGCTGCACTCCTGCAGCCAACGGTCCTGCACCCCGCTCCAGGAAGCGGTTTTATGGGAATAGGGACAAGCCTCCACAAGAGGGCACGAGCACCTCCATAACCAGCATGGAAAGTGCCACCCAGCTCCACTGGATGCCACTGGCTGCTCAAGGAGGCTAAACTACAGTGAGCAAAGCAAACTGGGGCTCTGTTTTACAAAGGCTGCATGGCACCAGGAGAATCCTGGCAGCTTTGTCCATTTACTTTCAAGATATACGCTAGGAATCTGCATTTATAATATTAAGGGATAGCTCTGAAGGTTTAGTTTACAGGACTGGAAGACAGAAGAGGCTCTGAAGGGATTTGCTTGTTACATAAATCAGATTTTACATAGGCCTTTCGTGCACCTTAGAAATTCAGCTTCAGCCATGCGAGGAGGCAGATACAAACCCAGAAATGCAGCTCTGGCACAAGCCTCCTAAATCATAGATCAGCCGAAGCGCGTGCACACACACCACTAAAACCAGAGCAGAACAGAGCACATTAACAGAGCGCTGCAGGTGGGCAAAGCAGGACCTGCCAGGACAGCAGCATCCAGAGATTCGGAGCAGTCACAGCACTTCTGAGGCATTTCCAGGGGCTGAGACAGACAGAGCCCTCTCAGGCACAACTGCACACTGTCCTCACCTCCTCGAGTCTCTCAATGTTGGCTTTTAAACAAGGGACACAGGATCTCAGCTCGCTGTTCTCGTCATCCAGTTGCTGCAGCCTGAAACAACACAGACACGTGCTAAAAAAAATCCTCCAAACATCCTGAAGGTAGGGGAGTTACATGAAACATGCCTGGGAATATCAAAACAGCATGCCTAGGATTATCAAAGCCTGCAGAGATCTAGCTTTGCAAACTAAACCCTCAGACTTCCACTGTTCCCATTTCTGTGGGGAAAGCAGGGCAATCCACACAGCCCCTGCTGAGTCCTTTGCCGCTGCACACTCTCCTCAAACAGCTCCAACAATTTTCTTTTGGCCAAAAGCTTCATTGCCTCCCTCAAACCTCCGCCCTAGGCAGCGTCAGAGCGGCTGGGGTTTGGAGAAGGCTTCAGCTTTGCGTTCTCCAGGTAAAGCAGCATCCATCTGTGGTGGCAATTGCCCTGTTACGAAAGCCTGATAAAAACGCTACCTTCATATTTCATTTCCAACAAAGGCTGTGCAATAGCAGAAAAGATTCTGGAAAAGTAGCAAAAATAAAGAAACAAAAACAAAAACAGCCCCCCCCCAAAACAAAACAAAACACACCCTCAAATTTAACATCTCCCCTGCCACTGTTTTCTTAGGAAGCCAACAGACTACATGAAGATTCCTGGCCAGGACACCGCCTGTGTGACAGCTCTGCCTTCCTGGTAGAAGAGCTGGGGTCTGGTTCTGCTCTAGGACTCTGTTTTGTTCCTCCAAAAACACAAGCTTCAACCACATTATGTTCCTACAGTGATGCTTCCCTCCTTCAAAAGGGGAAAATCCACTAACTCTACACATGCTTCTGCTCAACTCGGGTCAATTCCCATTGCAGCTTTGGGAGCAGGATGAGACAGTTGCTATTTACACAAATGTGACTCACACCTGCACATCAGACTTCTGTGCATCACTCGTGAACAAGCACTCAAACGAACACCTTCTTCTTGCACACACTGCAGGGGACACCCACTTACAGAGAAATGAGATAAAACGGTGAAATTCAAATAAGGAGCTGATCTGATTTCCTATTTTGGTACACCGGTGAAATTCAAATAAGGAGCCTAGGACAAAGTTCAAAAGCTGATCTGATTTCCTATTTTGGTACAAATGTAAGGAAGGAAAAGTAGCCAAAACTCAGGCTACACTGTGACTTTAACTACAATTTTAACCAAGTTATCTTCACTTTCTCTTGTATTTTGCCTCCCTAGAGGCCACAGTCACAAAGCATCAGCATGTCCGTGTAGCCAGGAGGGACGCCACCACCCAGCCCTGCCCCAACCCTACCTGGCCTGCAGGTTCTCAATCTCGATGCTCTTCTCTCTCTCCATTTTGCTCAGCAGCTCTCTCTGCTTCTTGATCTCTTCCAGGAGTGTTTGGTCAGCCCGCAGCTCCTGCTCCTTCAGCTGCTCCTCGAGAGCATTTGCTCTGCAGAGAAGAAAGAGGAGTCACCCCTGTGATGGCTGCCTCCATGGCACCGTGCCATCCAAGGAGCTGTCAGACTCTCAGCCTTTCTCCCACCCCACAACAGCATTAGGAGAGGCAGACTGCAAAATACAAAGGCTGATTTTTCAAAGGAAAGTAAATCCAGAGCACTGTCAAGCAGGCGTACCAGGGCTTCACTGCGCTCCAGGAAAGGCAGTGGGAAAGCAACACGGCCCCTGAAGCCCCCAGGGACACTACTGCTGACCAGCGTGACATTTCAGTAAGGTAGGTGGGAGATGCTGCTGCTGTGTAAGACACCAGAATGCATCTAGGCCCATTTTAAAGGGGAGGCCAACAAGAGTGATGAGAAGCACAGCACACACCCCAGTGGGCTGCAGTCACAGCACCCATCCAGAATGAGTTACTTAAATCGAGTCTGGTCCTTCTGTTCGTCACTCTTCAACGCCTCTAACCAAATACATGGGATCTGCAAGTCCAGTTTCTCTGTGCAGCAGCATCACCAGCACCTTCTGAGCAGCCCTGAGGCTGCCACTCTGTTCGGACAGTGGTCGTGTGCGCTCCGGCAGGGCAGATGCATTTGGCAGCAGCCCTTGGAAGCAGGCAGAGCCCAAGCTGGCTGCCGCTGCCCAAGTAAAAGCTATTGGCTCTAAAAACACCCCCCCGCCCGCCCAGGGAACCCCAGCAGCAGCCAGAGAGCTGCAGTCTGCTAGGAAACCGATGTGCGTAACTTCTGCAATTGCTTTGCACAGGGAAGCCTTTTGCCAGATGAACTGATTCTTCCACAAGCAACAAGTAAACTAAGGGCTTTATTTGATTAAAAGCCAGCTGACACTTCTGGGCCAAGCTACTAAAGTGAAAACATTCCCCTCGCAGCAAAGTTTATCAGGGCTTAGAGAAACCTTTGTCTCAGTTGCACAGTTCCACAGCACAATTATTACTTAACAGTCTTACAGCTCTATAGATAAACTCCTGCTGGCTTTATCTGCTGAGTGTAAATACACGCCTGGAAAAGAGAAGCCTGTCAGATTAATAAGCACAGTGATCTTAAAACAGGATCCAAAGGGCTACACCCCAGCCAGGCTCCGAAAGCAAGAGGATCAAGTTCAGCTATGGAGTGGGCAGAGCAGAGCTGCATAGTGCAGGCCCTGCTGCATCTCATCCACATCTGTCGAATGAAATGAGGGCCAGAAGAGGACAAGTGTGTTTCTCTTCCCAAACAGGAGCGTTTGGCTTCCAGAGAGCTGTGAAATTCTCTGCTCCTCTAAGTCAATCCCTAGAGGACCAGTGAGCTTTGGGAAGGGAAGGATTTGGAGGCACTATTAAAAAGCTATTAAAAAAAAAAAAAGGAGAGATAAAAAAAACACAAAAAAGCCCTACAGCATCTGCCTGCAACTGAACAAAAAATTTCAGAAGAGTGAAGTGCAAGCTGGCATTTTTTACCAGTATATGGACAATTTGCACCTGCAGAGACACAGGTGATTTCCTGATCCCCTGGAAATTTGCTAGATATATACAGGATGCCGTGGTGCCGCACACGAGGCTCTCCTGCAGAGGGGACACCCTGAACCCCTGCTGGACCTCACTCACGGCCAGGGAAGGACTGTGGCGAGGACAGAGCTGGGAAGCTTTGATGCTATTTTCTGCCTGCCTCTCTCCTTCCTGCTGCCTCCTTTGCCCATGCCCTTGAGCGCTTTGAGAAGAGGCCCTTGCACACCCCACGGGTGCTGTGGGGAAGGCACAGGGTGCTGCAGCACATGGGTGACACTGTGGAGGACACTGAACTGCATTTTGAACGGCCCGGCGATGAACCGCTGCGCTCACGTGGTGCAAGGAGGGCTCCGTTACCTGTGCACGAGCTGCAGGTTTTCCTGCTTCAGCCGGCTGTGCTGCTCGCCGTTGGCAGCCGTGTCCTTCTCCAGCTCGGTCACCCTCTTCTCCAAGAAGACCACCTGTGCGACAGGAGAGGGAAGGTTCGGGTGCTGAGACCGTTCGACAGAGCGGTACCGAGCAATTCCCCACACGGGTACGGCCCGTTTGCTTCGTGGCTCCTTCACAACTGACTTCCTCCAACCTTGCCCATCTCATACAACTCTCAGCATTACCCACGTCCTGGTCTGCACCACGTGAGCAGTCCCTTGCTACAGGAACATTTGCTAGAGCTGACCTCATGCCTGGGCAAGCTACCTTAAAACAAATGGCAACTGCTAATGGAATCAGATAGTCACTCCTTGATTTAAGGAAAAAATCCCTTTACACTCTAGTTCTTGAATTTTGGGTGTTTCCCAAGGGTCAATGCACTGCCA